TCAATCATCTTTTGAATTCTTTGCAATCATTTTCTTGTCTGCTGTTGAAAAATGAAGACACAATAAACCAATAAAAAGAAAAGATTTAATTGTATAACTCATTATAATAAAACGTATAATCAATTCAATATTCACATTATTTGTACATTCGACTTGTAAAAATTCCAAACGTTGACAAAGATTAATGATAAATTGAAGTTGTTTGATTTCTACCAACTTTTCGAGATTTACTTTTTTAATTTTATTATTACTGGATATTGACTGACGTTTTGATTATGTTTCAGCTGAAATGTTCACTTCTAATAAAGGTAAACAAGACAGATATAATGAATTAAGATTAGGTAAATTGTATATGAGATCAATAACGTAAATCAATATTCAAAGAAGTAATTTGTACTAGTTGAAAATAAAGATTTAATAGTCTCAATAAAAGATTGATATCGTTCGAAATCACAACGATTGGTTGCTATTAGTTCAACATCTCGATAATTCTCTGAATTAATATCAATAGAATTATTTTGTTGGTTCATATGTTCATATAAATGATACCATTTCTTCCTAAACTTCAAAGAGAAAGTAACAAAAACAAACATTTTTTTTTGTGTCGTTACCTGTATGAATGAATCGAATATATTATTCGATTATTAGAAGAAGGTAATGCATCAATTTGAATTTGTAAATATCACTGTCGTTTGATCCAAAACAATGATGTAAATTGATTAATTTGTTAATGATGTGATCCTAATTGAAAAACATTGGGAATCTTTTCATCATATTGAAAATTCAAATTTGAATAAATTTGGTAGATACTGTAAAATCAATCTTTGCCAACGATTAACATCAAGAAACGTTATGCTATCCGACGTAGTAAAATGTAATACTCTTAATTGAGAGTCAATCTTCTTAATCAACATTTCAAGTTCAGAAAATTGTAAATGACATCGATCAAAATTAACCATATGTTAGATAAGGCAATACAAGTGCTCTTTGCATTTGGATATATGCAGTCGAAGTATATAATTGTTGACAAGTTAAATGACTTAGTTTAGGTGTATATGAAGAGCATAGTAATTAATTCATTGAGAGCTATAATAATATCGATATTTAAATATTCAATAAAACTATATTGTTCATTCGTAGTGATTGATAATGCAATAGACAGTCTTCATGGTCCATAGGACAGCGAATTATATTTTAAAAAAGGTAAACGGAAAATCAATTTATAGATCGTATCAAAAGATTCTAACTCACCAACCACAGAAATATTCAATGAACAAAAACATGGTAAAGAAGCTAATTGTTTAAGAAGTAATTGAAGTTTATGTTCTACAATACCATTGATGACAAGTGATTGTAAACGATTAAATAATGAATTGATAGTGATTAATTTCAAAAATTGTTTGACATCTATAGTAGTTGACAATTGAAGTAAAAACAATGCGAGATTTATTTTTATTGATAATATTCTTACGACAATATTCAATTATTATTTCATATTTAGAATCAATATTAATTTTAAGAGATAGAAAAGATTTAATGAGAAGATTTTGAAAACGAGCATTAAGATTTGCAAATGATTCATATAAATGACATCCATCGAGATAATCAAAAATATTATACAAGATTTCATTAGATAAATCTTCGATAGAATGAATTATTTTTCTAAATCAAATTGGAAATTATACATGAAAACATTAAAGAAAAATTAAAAATTTCTTTCTTTCTCTCTTGCTTACTTGTTCTCATTAGTAATTGCTAAAATGAATAAAAACGAAACAAAATTTATTAAATATTCAAATTATCTTCATCTACTTTGTAATGCATTGTTTTCTTTATTACCTAATTCATGAATATAGATTTGTTGTTGTCTCCTTGAGTTCATAATTGAATGAGGATTGATTATATGATTAAATTAATGCACATAATATGATCAAGTAAATTGTAGACTATATGTCACTTTTTCTGTTTGTCTAGAATTACTTTCATAATCAAAATAAACAACAAAAATCTCATGTGTATATTCTATGTCTGCTTTATTAGTAAACATAGTTAATAATACTTCCTCGTCTGTACTTTTTTGCTATTTGTACCTGAGGTTTGTAACAATTTGTAAATGTCAACTTACGACAGCAAAAGCGTCGTTGAGTCATTTGATGGTTGAAAAAAGAAGAAAAAAGAATGACGAAAATAAATTTCATCATTTTCACGGAAAAGAACATGCCATGTCAGTCACTCGTCGTCAGAATTACTATACATCTCAAATTGATCGATCTGACAGTGTTGTGATAAAGAACTAAAGAAAAATGCTCATGCATCTCATGATTGTTCTAGTCACATGGTAGAATGTGGGTGTGGGTGTCGATGAAAAGAGGACCATGACACCCACTGCACATCCATACTCACACTCACACCCTTCTTTTCTTCATCTTCTCTGATATTTAGCCATCCTCTATATTTATATAGAGATGTGTGTGTTTAGTTTAACAGTCTGTTTTTCAACAAAAAGGAAGAAATAAATAAAGTTGTGATTCAAATTTTAACAATCGTTAAAAGCCAAGATCTACATGATACGTAGTGTAACATCAGGTAGATCGTTATTTGAGGATGGGGTGTGAATGTAGTACCCATTTGAGGCGCACTCACACTCGCGCACCCTATGTCCGCATTATTCCCTGTAGAAATTTATAGTGGTTAATCAATAACTGAGATCTTTTTTTAAATTTTATTCAAAACTGTTCTCTTATTCTTCGGGCCGTAAGTTTCATATTGCAGCTGAATATAAATTGTTGACATTGTTTAAATTGAAACAGACGTTGAAGTTCAATTTTTAGCGTAGTACAAAATAAGTGTTGGTGAGTGCACATTAAAATATGAAATCAGTTAAGTTCTAGACTCGATGTTGAAAAGAAACCAATTAGAAATTAATACAACCGTGATCATTTAAAGTTATCTTTTTCTTTGTATGTAAAAGAAAAGTGGAGAAATCCAATGACAGAGTAAAAAAATAATTTCTGACCCATTAAAATTATTCAACCATTAACAGAAAATTGTTTCCTTTGTTAATAAATCATCTGGATTACAGATAGTTGCTTTTTAATTAAAATAAGGAATAATATAAATCTTGAAAATTTATTTAAAAGCAGTGAGAACAGTTAATAACAGAACATGGTTCGGCTATCAATCTCAGATAAAATGAAATTTAAAAAGTATTGTGTATTATACTGATTTATTCGTCTCACTTTACAGTATTTGTTTATCTTCATTTCAAGGTTTCCTTTTCTTAAGACAAAGTGCTCGAGCAACAAAAATGTGCAATATGTTTTTCATTAAAACAAATTGCAGAACAAAAAAAATTTAAGCATACAATCAAATAGTTTTATTGATGCAAAACTATAGAGAAAAAAATTCAATGTTTGATCAAATAATTTCGGTTTCAATATTTTTGGACAAAATGTTGCTATATAAATACTTGAAGGGTATACTAAAAAATTTAGTTCTGCTGGGTTATTACGTTTAATACGCATTAGATTTTTGTGACTCTTGTTCGCTTGATGAAAAAAAATCATCGAATCACTTAAGCAAGTGACTGTTGTAAGTATTATTCATCGTTCATTATTATAGATTAGTAGCGCAGATGCTGAATGCTTCTTTTTAAAATACATCTTACGACTCTCACTTCCTATCAGTGTTTCTTGTTTTAGTATCGGTGGCTAATATATCAGCTCTTAGGCTTTAATTAATATGACTCTTTGCTTTTACATATTTTGTAATTGTAATTGAGAATAAGAGTTTAGCAATTTCTGATCAATCGAAGAAGTTTCCCTTGTTAGGAGATGGATTTGAAGTTTTCTTTCTAAGTCGTATAGGAGATTGTATATTTGTATCAAGGTAAATGAATCCATGATATATAGACCAATTTAAAAATCGAATGTTCGCACCAGAATAAAAGAGGGATGGATGTAAGCGCAATATCTCGATAACGGTAATAGTTATAGGGACCTGTTGCTTTTACCAATTGAAAGAGAAGAAGTCGGGATATCTTTTTCCCCAATCATGTATGAGATGAAATCCTTTTAAAATTAATCATCTTCAAAAAAACATACAAAAGAATGCATGAAAATGATCTGCCATCTAAATGAAATTTTGAGTTTGATCTTTGATTTAGATAGAGGGACTTCAGATCTATAGTTCAAGATAAAATGTGCTTTGCCACTTTTCATTAAAGTTTCATCACAATGTCAAGCTATTATGATAAAAAGTGTGAAAACTCAATAAAAAATCAGCAAAACTCTCCATTATTTGGCATATAAATGTAAATACATGATTCCATTTGTTTAACCCTAGAATGCAATAAGAGAACTATTTATAGTGTATCTTGAACTAGAGATCTGAAGTCCCTCTATCTAAATCAAAGATCAAACTCAAAATTTCACTTAGATGACAGATCATTTTCATGCATTCTTTTGTATGTTTTTCGAAGATGATTAATTTTAAAAGGATTTCGTTTCATACATGATCGGAAAAAAACATATCCCGACTTCTCCTCTTTCAATTGATGGATGTTAATTATATTTGTTATGAAGATTCTCTAGAAAATGGTTGAAGACTATCTTAATAATTTAATATTTTCTATCTAAAACATTTCCAGCAATCTGACATTCATAAGAACGAACAAGTACCATTCGTTAATATTACAAATCCTAGATCTTCTCTTCTATAAGACAAAATTATTACAAGAGATCTGAAGGAGAAGATGAAGAAAAAATATAAATGTATTCTCTAAAATATGAAAATTACACTCGTAGGTATAAACTCAGTAAATATGTAGAAGATAACAAAAAAGAGATAGGAAAGAATGATAATAAAAGCTTCTTATTAAAAGAAACAGAAAACAAAAGCAAGAAGCCCAAACAAATAATTTTTCGTTGTACATTTTTTACTAGTGTATTTTTGAAGACGAAGAGACATTATTTTCAAAATAACCATTCGAACACTACGATATGCAAAAGCTTAAAATATCAACAGCTCAAGTTGAAAACAAGAGTGGCGATAAATCGTATAATTTAGAAGTCATTAGAAAGTTAAGTGAACAGGCGGCTAAAGATGGTTCACAAGTTGTAGCTTTTCATGAGTGCTCAATCACTGCATATACATTCGCAAGAAATCTGTCGAAAGAACAAATGCTGGAATTAGTTGAATTTGTTCCGGATGGCAAGAGTGTTAAAGAATTAATTGCAATCGCTCAGACATACAATATTGCAATTTTAGCTGGTCTATTCGAAAACGATAATAAAGATCAAATATTTAAAACGCACATATGTGTCGATAAAAATGGTGTTGTAGCAAAATATAGAAAATTACATCCTTTCATAAATCCAAATGTAACACCAGGTGATCAATATCGTGTATTGGACTTATATGGTTGGAAGTGCGCATTTTAATATGTTATGATAACAATATTATAGAATATATACGAGCTACTAATACACTTGGTGCAGACATTATTTTTATGTCTCATGTTACAATGTGCACTCCTTCAACAAGGCCTGGAGCAGGATTTGTTGATCGTAAATTGTGGGAAAATAGAGAAAATGACCCAACATCATTAAGGTTATAGTTTGATGGAATGAAATATAGGTATAGATGAATATCAGTTAAAATATGGTTGTTCAATGATTATAGATCCATTTGGACATATCATTTCAGAATGTCGAAAACTTGATAATGAAGTAATAATAGCAACCATTGTACCTGATAAACTTACAAAAGCTGGTGAATACAGATATAAAAAAGCAAGAAGACCTAATCTTTAGAGAGATACTATTGGTCAATCACATAATCTTGAACAAAAGGTAATTTGGCTTAGCCCAGAAGAAAATTAACGTTGATAATGAAAATTAATTATAGACAATGCAAACAGTTATGTGCTTGTATTCTTCTATTCTTCTACCATTTTATTTACTATCTAGTGAAACTTTTCCTGACTTGTTCTGTTAATAAAGAAATCATAGTCCTAAATTCAAGTAAATTTTATCACTGTTCTTTATCCATGCTTGGATAAACACTAAGCGAGTATCTCCAGAAACTTATTGAAATTTTAGCATAGAAGCTAAAGGAGATATAGAAGTTAAGAAAGATATTGCATAAACACACGACTACATGCATACAGCATCAAAGCGATCTTGTGAAATAGTACTCAAAGATCAAAGGTATTCATCACACGAATAGATCGTTTTTGGAAATAATTTCGAGTAACTCACTGCGTGTTGTGAAGAATACCAATAAACATCAATCAACATCAAATTATTCAGTGATATGTTTAAAATAAGAAAAAAAACAAAGCAACAAGCTCTTATTGATTCTTGCTTTCATTTTTCTTCTTGCCAATGATCACTTTCGTGAGATTGTCATTGCTAGTATGCCATAATTTGATCTTCGATATTTATTCTTCGACATTTTTTAAATCAATTTTTTGAGTTTATTGTTCTATTTGTAATGAATTCGTGTGTAGGTGTGAGTATGAATGGATGAAGATGCGGTTCACTTTGTCTTCAACTCACACCCTCAAACATCGAATTCTCTATCGAAGAAACTGAAAATAGCCTTTAAGTTAATTTTGCATTGCTTCACTAATGAATAAAGAAAATCATCAAATTGTAACTAAGTCAATTGTTACAAGCAATACAAAAACTTTTTGAGAGTAAGTAATACACAGGACAATCATAAATTTCAACTAAACTATTTTTTATGAGTCTTTTCGTGGTTGGATAAAAGTTGATTAATTAATCGCTCAAACGGTTTCTCTATAAGAATGAACCAAACAATCGATAGAATTAGACATATGGTAAACACTAATACAAGACATATAAGTGTTAAGATATCAATTGAATATTGTTTTGGGTCGAATAACTTCGTATTAGACATAATCAGTTCGAATGCAATTCGAAAATGAAGAACATATATAAGGTAACTTAAATTGGCAATTGGTGTCCAAATAGGAAATGAAAGAAATGATTTGATGCATGAACTATGATAAGGATGAGTAGATGGACATAAAGCAGAGAAAAGAATGAATGCTTGAGATACTACAAATAATTGTCGAAAAATTGATATCATAATTGTTAATAGTACATGATTGACTGCATCTGACTCAACTGGCATCACCAATACGAGCATATACAACGAAATCAATGTAAAATATAGATACTTTTTCATTTTTCCATAACGAATAATACTCGAATTTTTCGCATTCATCAAATTCAATGCTAAAACTGATCCAATGATAAAACTTGAATATCGACTGATGACAGGCAGATACATCATTTTCATAAATGGTTTCATTAGACTTGGTTCCACTGGTCGTTCGAATGCAAATGTAACATTGTATTTAGTTATAATCCAATCGAATATTCGTGGTGGCATCAATAATGCCATGGAATTATAGTGATAATTAAGCGTCGGTAAATTCATTGTTTGTGGATTGAAAACAAATAATGAATATACAATTGACATAAGAATGAGTATATATAATGCTGAATAAGTTCTTTGGTAATTAGATGTCGAACTAACAATCATGTACAAAATGATGGGTAGAAGTATATACATTTGCATGTCGACACTGATACTCCAGAGAGGCGCGAAACCGGCTGACCACTGTCCTATATCAACGTAATTTTGATAAAATAACCAGAGACTCATCCAAGCACCTCCTGGCTCACCCAGTAGTAGCATAACGATTGTAATCATTAAAATACCTGGCCAAAAACGACATGCCCGTCTAAATATATAAATCGAATATCCTTTCCAAGTAACGAAAGAATTCTGTTCAATACATTTCAGTGTAAGAAGAAACCCAGATAACATAAAAAATGTTTCCAATGATAATGACAATAATGGTGATAAT